TGTCGACTCTGCGCTGGACAAGGAGTACGCTGGCATCACCGGTGTACCCAACTTCACAAAGGCTGCTCTCAAGCTCGCATATGGCACTGATTCGAAGCCCCTCAATGAGGACTGCATCGCCGTCACCCAGTCCATTTCAGGTACTGGCGCCCTGCGCATTGGCGGCGCCTTCCTCGAGCGTCACTACCCTGGCCCCAAGACCATCTACATCCCCACACCGTCATGGGCCAACCACAATGCCGTCTTCAAGGACTCAGGTCTCAAGGTCGAGAAGTATCGCTACTACAACAAGGACACAATTGGCCTCGACTTCGAGGGAATGATTGCGGACATCAAGGCCATGCCCAAGAACAGCATTGTCCTGCTCCACGCCTGCGCACACAACCCCACTGGTGTCGACCCCACCGAGGAGCAGTGGACCAAGATTGCCGATGCTGTCAAGGAGGGTGATCACTTCCCCTTCTTTGACATGGCCTACCAGGGCTTTGCCAGCGGTGACACCTCCAAGGACGCCTTTGCCCTCCGCCACTTCATCAAGGAGGGTCTCCGCCCCGTCCTGGCCCAGTCGTTTGCCAAGAACATGGGCCTGTATGGTGAGCGTGTGGGTGCCTTCTCTGTTGTTTGCGAATCTGCCGAGGAGAAGAAGCGCATCGACTCACAGATCAAGATCATTGTTCGTCCATTGTACTCTAACCCTCCAGTTCACGGCGCCCGCATTGCCTCTGAGATTCTGAACGATGCCTCGCTCAACAAGCAATGGCTTGGCGAAGTCAAGGGAATGGCTGACCGCATCATCACCATGCGCGCTCTGCTCAAGGAAAACCTCGAGAAGCTCGGAAGCAAGCACGACTGGAGCCACATCACATCGCAGATTGGTATGTTCGCCTACACGGGCCTGACACCGGAGCAGATGGACAAGCTGGCAAAGGAGGTGAGTTGAAGACCACGTGCCAGATGATACCAGACCCAGCTAACGTAACAGCACTCGGTATATGCCACCAAGGACGGCCGCATCTCGGTCGCTGGTATCACTAGCGAGAACGTCGGACGCCTTGCAGAGGCTATTTACAAGGTCAAGGGTTAAGTAAGGTGATGAGGGGTTCTTTGGTCGGCTCACGGCTGCCGTGCATGATCCGGCGGCTGCATTGAGCGGCTAGATTATGAAATGTGTACGTATGTATACGAGAAATGACATGTCTCTTCGATCCTTGGGTGTGCTTGTGTCTTTTTTTTTGTCTTTTGGGATTGAATCGGTCGATCTGAAGCATTGCACTAAAGCTTGGAATCCTTCACCGAGGATTGAGTGTTTGCTCACTGAAGCCCCCACAGGCGGCACGTGGTTGGCTATTTGCGGTGAGAATATAAAGGCGGGTGAAGATCCCTTCCGTGTGTGTGAGGGGGCTGCTATGTGGTAGTAGACAGTGATGGCGCTAGTTAGTTCCCGAAAGCTTCGACCTACTGCTCGCGTGCAAGAGACAAGCGTGCGTGGCCGACTTCGCTGCTTGCCTAAGGCGAGTTACCACGGTTATTTGCAGCCTTGCCGGTTCGCAGACTTCTTGAGTCATTGTTCGACATGGAAGAAATGCAAACCGGTCAGGCTTGGTGAGCTTGGTGGTCAACAAAAAAACTAGGCCGGTACCGCTCAACGCATGGTTTACCAGGCATGCTCGCACCAATCAGACGGCAACGAGGATTGCTCCACTCGTTTACCCTGCAGCGCTGCAATGGCCAGGGCCTCTGCTGTCGTGCAAACCAAACATCATCGAGGGTGATGCTGGGTGTCTCCATGCCGCCCTCCGCCCGCCATTTGCTTGAGAGTGGAGTAGCTGTTGGCAACGAGACAGCATCAGCCTATTGCATTTCGGAGAATGTCGGACGAGCATGAATCACGCATGACGTAGGCTTGGACGGAAAAACCATGGCCAGGGTCCATGGGCGATGCCTGTCGTGTGTGGGTTTAGTGCCCGGCCCTATGGCATCGCTTTGTTTTTTTTGAGGCGGTGTTTGTGGCTCTGGCGATGTACGTACATGGCTGTTAGGTTCAAGAGAAACAAGCCCTGTACATATACACATAGATACATAGACGTGCAAGAGGCCAGGCCAAACGGCGGCTGCACGCAGTGTTGAGTGGTTGGCTCAACCTAGCAAGCCCCAATTCAGGGTCTGGCAAAAGCGCATGCGCAATGACGACAGCTTACAATGTGACGTCGTTTGTCGTGAAGCGAAAAAAACCCAACCCTCGTCTGTGTTTATATTCCTATGCTGGCACCCCGCCTCAATAGTTTCTACCGCGGAGAAAACCCTTTTCGAACCGCTTCCAGACCTTCTTGGCGCACACTCGACTGTTCTTCTCTTCTCTTCAATCTTGAGGGCGTCTTCAACAGCTCTCCCGAGGAGGCAGGGCGGTAGGAGCCATGGCTTCGGCTAGCCTCATCAGCCGCAGAGGCACACGGCGGTGCAGGCAACATGCCAGGTCAGAGGCCACGACTCCACACGACTTGGGTGCGGTGCATTGTCTTTGGCCGGGTACCCGATGACTGTGACTGCGAGGGAGGGGGAGTCAGCCGCCAGGAAGAGCGTAGCAGACGACGGCCTCGTAACAGGCGATCAACGGCGAGTGAATGGCTGCCGATTGACGTCGAGGTATCCACCCACATGTATTGAGCCCTTATTCCACTGCTCATCCCGTGCCCCCCCCCCCTTCTGCCCCTCTCCCCCCTCCTCTCTTTTTACGGTGATGCAAACATCGCAACCCTCACCTTCTAGAACACTGTCCGCCGTATATGAGCCACATTCCCGTGACCATTGCTGCCAAAACTGCTTTCCTCTTACCATCCCACCCAACGCCCACTTCGGTCCTCATTCTGTCCGTGACGAGCATAGCATAGCTGCATCCGCTTCGCCCAGCATCCGGCTCCGTGGAAGCAATACGAACTAACGGTCTAGAGGCGCGACTTAGTCTCAGTTCCTGTGCGTAGTAGTTCGGCAGTCGCAATCTCAGACACACTCGATTGCCCACCCTGCATCGTCCTAGACACTGACCCTTGGACAACGTCCTCAGCTCTAGTAACGGCGTTCACAACAACACCCACGGGCCGACCCTTTTCTGTCGCCCACTAAGCCTGATCCAGCCCCCGCAGGTGAATCCGACAGCCGCACGGCCCACTGCTGAGGCGCGAAAAAATATCCGTTCGCGCCCCCAATAGTTGCTCTTCACTGCGACACCAGTCCTATACGGTGTCGACAGCATCGTCGTCCGGATTCACGACCGCCCTCTACCCCATCGCCTTCGCCGTCTGGTCTTGAGCAAACATGTCGGTTACCGACGACAGGGTTCGTGTGCCCCTCTGCCCCTCGTCCCTCCAGTTGCCCTTGCCCAGAACCCCACCATACCATGTCCTGCCCATGCCTCAGCACATGTCTCTCCCTTGCCTACTGTCCTGTTCTCGCCTTGCCCACTTTGCATCCGCACTACGGCGCTGAGCAATCTTCACCTCCTAACCTAATTCTTCTGCCAGCAGAGCGGCGACATCATGTCGATTCCCGGCGCCGAGGACCAGATCGACTCTGCCACCTTTGAGCAGATTCTCGAGATGGACGAGGACGAGGAGGAGCGCGAGTTCAGCAAAAGCATCGTCTACGACTTCTTTGGCCAGGCAGACCAGACTTTCAAGAAGATGGACAAGGAGCTGTGAGTGCCCGCCCGCCGCGCGCCTTCATGATGACGCCACACTTCCGCCCACGCTCTGCCCTTCCCCGCACGGCGCGCCAGCCTTGCCTCACAGTACCACGGCTAACACGCGACACAGAGAAAAGAAGGAAGGCAAGTACCTCAAGGAGCTTAGTGAGCTCGGTCATTTCCTAAAGGGCTCGTCAGCCACGCTCGGCCTCACCAAAGTCAAGGACTCGTGCGAGAAGATCCAACATTACGGTCAATTGAAGGACGACGCAGGTACAAAGGACATTACAGAAGAGCAGGCTCAGGAGAACTTGGGAAAGATCATCAAGCAGGCCAAGAAGGAGTTTGCAGACGTCAAGGACATCCTCAAGGAGTTCTACAAAGACGACGATGAAGCTTGAGGGGTATGACACCGCCAGAGAGCAATGGCGCGAGCACCCATCTCGCACTCGCCATGCTCATCCGCGGGGTATATATGGCGTCTACAGCAGGCAAGCTCCAGATCGTCCGCTTCGACGAGCGCTGCGCGGCTCTGGTCCTCTCACCCTACCTACTGCCACGCCCCGAATTTTTTAACGAATCCTCTTCCTATGTTGCACCCTTGTGTTGAGTTTCTAGGGCTGTTTTATTGTGTATATGCCATTGTTGGGTAGGTTGCACTCTAAATAGTTTGCCCCAACTCGGCTTATTGATATTTCCACGTTAGAATGAGTTAGACTTGAAGGCTGTTCAAGATGGCAAACAAGGTCAATTTCTTGTGATGTACACACTTCTTATGTACCATAGACGATTTCTCAGCCCTACCAGGCGCTGAACAGCAAAGGGCCGAACGCCTAACGCGCTTGAGACGAAGCGGCGGCGGAGGCTGCAGCGGCGCCTGTCAATCACCCCACCTTGGGGCCTACGTCACTCGTCGCTCACGCAAAGGCCCGATGATAGGCTACCAGGCTAGCCCATGAACGCTCAACATCAAAAGCACCTTTATTATCGTTGGTTAGGCGCCCTTTTTGACACCACTTTTCCTAAAACGCTGCCGACACTGTCGTTGGTCTTGTCGTGTGTCTAGTTAAGCGCAGCTGATTCTTTTATTTCGCTCTATTTTTGCATCTACGTTAAATTTACTTGCTGGGTTGTCCGTACTTCCGCTCAGCATAGCCGACCTCTTATGCTGGTTGCTGCGACGATCTTGCGTCGAGCTGCTCCTAGACCAATCAACTGTCGCATTACTATTGCAGCTGCAAGCGCAGCTACTGCCTCTATCCTCACACAGCAGCCACTGAATCAGCTTCTAGATACCCAGTTTTACAGCTCGTCGCCGATCATGGGCAAGAAAAAGTCAAGAAGCGACTACAACGACTTTCTAGATGGCGAGAAGCTGCGCGACAACACGGAAATCAGGACATCACTACAAGGATCTGGAACACAAAACTTTTCATCTGTACCTACCGGCCAGTATGCACGAGGAAGCAAGAAGAACGGCAAGGGTGGAGCAAAGAAACCTCCGCTCACCCACTTTTTGTGTCTGCCACTTGTCACAGACACTAGTAGGCCGCAGCTCCAAGAAGGACTGGATCAGTTCGAAAAAGACCTAGCGAGCGATAGCCCAGTACCCACCAAGGCTGTGCGACCAGTAGGTACACTTCATCTCACCCTGGGGGTAATGAGCCTGGATGCAAAGGAGCTGGAAAATGCCAAACAATACCTGGAAGACTTGGATGTGCATACTCTACTCCGCGACATTACCCACCGTCGCATAGCTGAAAAGGCTGCCGAAGAAGGGATAATAGGAGAAAACCTCGTTCCTGCAGCCATGCCAGATACCGATGCCTTGACCATTAACCTAGAAGCCCTCATGCCAATGCAAGCACTAAACAAAACGAGTATCCTCTACGCTGAGCCTCGGGATCCATCGCAACGTCTACCTTTGTTTGCCTCTGCATTGAGAGAGCGATTCACAGAGGCAGGACTCTTGGTTGCAGACACAAGACCGCTCAAGCTCCACGCTACCATTATGAACACAATCTACGCAAAGCCTAAGCGTGGAAGAGGACGATCGAAATCGTCCAAATTAAAACATGGGCTGAAGCATATTGAACACAAAGTTTCACCTCATCATCGACACGACGGCGACGATCACCACGATGAAGGTGATGATGATGGCACATCAACGGTGGGCTCTGCAGATGGTGATCAAGACCAAGCTCAACCCGCAACAGGCGAAGGCCATGGGCCCGATGGAAAGAGCTGGATGCGGTTTGACGCAACGAATCTGGTTGAAAAGTACAAGGGCTTTGTATGGGCGCGCGATGTGCGCATAGATAGAGTCTGCATTTGTGAAATGGGCGCGAAGAAGATTTGGAGTGGGTCGCATGAGGGCGACGGAGAGATCCTGGACGAGCAGTACAAAGCTGTTGCTGTGAAGGGTATATTCGAGTGAAAAAATCTCGATGGGGGGTTTTTTTATAAGCAGTCCAAAAAAAAACACCCACACACACAGCTTAGATCAAGAGTTTTGACTCGTTGCAACATGTTCACATCCTCAAACCCTGGCACACCTCATCCCCCTCGTTCCAACTTCCTCACCTCCTCCTCTACCCTCTGCACCTCCGCCAAAATCCACTCCTTCCTCCTCGCCAACTCCTTCATCCCCTTCTCCCCCGCATGCTCATAAAGCTCGAGCTCCCTCCTCGCCAGCGCCTCGCGATCCCTCAGCGCCTTCTCCCCGCTCCCCTGACTCTTCTTGAACTGCCTGAGCGCATCCACGAATTCCGCAGGCGGCGGATGGCTGTACGTGTGGATCTTGGCTTGCAATCCGAGAAGTACGGAGCGTGCGTGTAACAAGTCGGCTGAGGAGCGTGTGTGCCGGGCTAGCGCGCCTTGTTGCGTTTGCTCGAGGATCTTGATGGCGGTGGTGAGGAGAGTGGAGTGGGTAGCTAGGAGCACGGTGAAGCTGTGGGTTAGATGGAGGTGTGCGGATTGGAGCTCGTCCGGGAGAGTGAGCGTGGCTTCGGTTTGCAGGGCGTTTGTTCTTGCGCTGAGGTCGGAGGGGGATGGGGGATTCAGTGGGTCAGCGATTTTACAGAGGTGGGTGGTTGTTTTGCTGAGTTGGGTGGAGAGGGCGTCGCTGATTATGTCGCTGTTTGTCAAGAAGGCTTCGAGGTCTGCGGAGAGGATTTCACGGTCTGAGGATGGGATTTGGCCGCGGAGTTGGGCGGTTGCGATGTCAATTACAGAGTGCAGTTCTGGGGGGAGGTCGGCTGCTTTGGAGGGGAGGTCCGAGAGGGTGTCGATGAGGATTTGGGTTGTGAGGAGGGATGTGCGGGCTGCGGATAGGGCCTATGGGGATAGTTAGTGTATAACTTGTTCTGTGAACGATTGATGATTTTTGACTCTGATGTTGCTGCACATGAATGGATGGGCTTAGTATTCAGATTGTCAATGTTGGGTGTAAACAAAGCGATAAACATGAAGTTGAAGATAGATTTTGAGAAACAGATCAAAAGAGATAGCCAGTATGTGATATAAGAGAAATGCTTCCAAATTAATATAGACATGATCATACCCTGCGAATCTCATCATGCACGCGCTGTTTCTTCGTCTCCCGTGTCGAGCCATTGGGATTAAGTTTCCTAGTGCAAAGATCTTTATACAATATCTCGAAATTCGGATTGCGCTGCAGCACAGCTGGATCGACTGGCGGAAGCATTTTGTTGATATTTTTTCGAGTCCTGCTCGGATTGGTTTCGTATATGTAGGGTCAAAAGGTTGAAGTCGGTGTGGTTGTATGATAGGTGCTGATCTGCACTAGAGTGTCATAAGACTAGCGGCTTGGCTGAGTCTACAGCTGGCACTCGGCTTACCATAATAGTCTTTTGTTCACGATTTCGCATTTTGAGAATATTTTTCAGCGTGTTCTGAAATTGCTTGAATCTTTGTACACCAATGAGTATCGCGTATATTGCGTGAATAATAGCGAATGGCCCTTCTGTACCTGTTGTATCCCATCGCCCTGGCCCTGAGGTCAGCCCAGAATGTAATTATCCGCAACATGCATGTAATTCCAAAAAGATTCTTACAAATAAAATGCTGCACGATCAATTCTGTGGGAGCTGTTCTCAACCTCCCTACTGAAACCACGTCACAAGCAAGTCTGATCGAGGAACGCTTCTTGCTTACGCAATCCACTGCTATCCTAGATTATGTGGAAAATCAGTTTCCACTCAAACTACTATTACTGCTCTCTCTGTGTAGTGTGAAGCACAAGGCTGCGGTAACGAGACTGGCAGTGCTTCTTAGCCAAGACATCTCTCCATTGGCGGATCATAATGCTCGAGGAGAAAGGTGTTTGGCAGGTGATCAGGAAAGTCTTTGACGAGATAGCCAAGATTGAGGCATCTGCAAAGGAAATTGGATGAAACTTGAAATCGCACATTTGACAGCTTGCTTCTCTCAAATCTTCTGGTCTTTCCAACTGGCTCACCAACAATAGGAAAACAAGACAGAAGATGTATTCCGATTGAAGCCGTACCAAAATCGGGCCCTGGCCGCAAAAAGCAGTTTTCATCTTGTTTCACAACATAGACGCGTGCGTATTCGGACATGGCTGTGTCACGAACCAGTTAATATCACCGAGATTAAAGTTTTTACATTTCATCTGAGACGTGTTGAGATCTCCTTTCCTGTTCCCCCCCTCTCAGACATTACTCATAGCTCAGTTCATGAGGCAGCGGTTATTTCCATGATTTGTGTTTTTGCCACACACATGAGCTCATAGAGATGGTGATGTTGTCATTGGTATGTATACTACAACATCTATGCCAGGGATACAGCTAGCGTGAAACCCGTCAGGTCAGCACTAAATGTGCCACCACAACACAACTCATCATGCTAGGTATTCTTTCATCACCTCTTACCCGATGCTAGCTACATTGACTTCCCACTTGATTTACTTCCTCAAGTACTTCGTACTGCCGCTTCACTGAACAGACTTCAGACATAACCGCAATGCTCGTGGTTGTATAAATAACCTGGGATGATAGAGATGCACCTCTTAATTACCTGCCGATCAATACGGCTTTGAGACGATCTAGAACTCGCACCCTCCAAGTATGGAGTCAGCATCTAATAGCCCTAGGAACCGCTATATGAGTAGAGCGGTGAAAGTTGTGTATGAGTCCCCACATCTTTCAATGTAAGATATACGCTCTCTTCGCACGTACGGAAACTGTACGCCATCCGTGACTGGACTTGGTTGATCTGTGCCTTTTTGTTTCGTAAACATAAGCATTTTACCCCAGACCGGCCAGGTTTTAAATCAAGCTTGTCTCAACATCAGCCTTTTAGCCACTGTTGACCGGCTCCACATCGGAACATCGGCTGGCCACGCGGCCGCAAAGCCACACATAAACCGAGCGGCTACCGGCAGTCTTAATACGTCGCAGCCATTAATTTGCTCGTGTGGACCGTTTTTTCTCCGATTGTACTAACGTGGATATGTACCCCAGACTGCCACAGCTTGGTCCTGCATGAAATCAGGACGGCAACGGCAATAACCCCGGCATGATCATCACCACATGGCTACTCAAATAGATTACGACAACGGGTGAAAGGACCACTTGCGCACCACACCAACCAAAGCAGCGTTTTCTGCCCCACTGTTCAATATGAAGTTAGTTGAGGAGACTGGTATTCTGCCTAAAGAGGTCGTGGCCTGGTATTACGTAGAGCTTCCTTTTTATATCTGAGTACATTTGTTGCCTTGTAGTGATTATCAGGCTCTTCACACACACAATCACCTTCCAACTACTCCAAGCATCACCATCACCGTCAAAATGAAGTTTGTGACTGCTGCTGCCGTCTTCGCTGGGCTTGCTGCCGCGGGTCCTGTCGAACTCAGCGAGCGCCAGAGTTGCCCAAAGGTCTACATCTTTGGTGCACGTGAAACTACTGTTCCTCAAAGCAACGGATACGGAACTGCTGGTGGTCTTGTCAACTCTGTCAAGTCAGCATTCCCTGGCGCTGGCTCTGAGGCCATTGTCTACCCTGCATGTGGTGGCGGATCAGCCTGCGGTGGCATCAGCTATGACAACTCTGCTTCCCAAGGTACCGCAGCTGTTGTCAAGGCTGTAACTGCCTACAACCAGAAGTGCCCCAGCACCCAAATTGTCCTCATTGGATACTCTCAGGTTCGTCACCAGTATCCAAAACTGTTGAAACGAGAAGTGTACTAAAGAAACACAGGGTGGCCAGATCATGGACAACGCACTCTGCGGTGGTGCAGGTGCCACTCTTACCGGCAACGCTCTCAAGGCCGTCAAGGCCGCCATCTTCATGGGCGACCCACACAACCGTGCCGGCCTTCCTTACAACGTCGGCACTTGCCGAGCCCAAGGCGTAAGTACCCAAACATTAAAAATCGATCGGCAAGAGTCTAATAGTCAAATCAGTTCGCCGCCCGTCCCCAGGGCTTCACCTGCTCTCCTGCCAACGGCAGCATCATCCAGAGCTACTGCGACTCTCAGGACCCATACTGCTGCAACGGAAACGACGGTAACCACCACCAGCAATACGTCAACATCTACGGCAACCAGGCTCTCAACTTCATCAAGAGCAAGGTTACTGCTTAAACGTGGTTTTTTCTGCACCAAGTGCGAAACTATGAGGAAATCACCCCGCGCCTGGTTATGGCGGCGAAATTCAATGTATATATAGGAATTTGATGAATATGTATATGACAACATCAATTGAAAAAGAATCCTTGAGCGTGTGATCTTGGTCGTTGGTGTGAAATTGTTGATGCAGGTTCAATATTGTGTTCAAAGTGTAGGCATTGCTTATGTCTCGCCTCGTGATAGCGATATCCACAATTCTACCTGCTAATCGTCAAAACTGATAAAATTCAGCCCCAGATCTTTAATAAAGAGAATCACTGTAAAAGGTAAAATCCTCTTCAAACAAAGTTCGAAATATTCATTCATTCATACATCTATCCTACCGGATAACAAGCCAGATCTACTCCCAGACGCCATGCAAAGTATACACATGCATATCATTACCTCGTGACGCTAAATGCCGTTTCTTCCAATCAAACATACCCTCAAGACACACTTCTTACAACTTAGCCTTTGGCCACTGGTCCAACAGATCGGTCATCTCGAAGCGCGGCCAGTCAGGGTTAAGACTTGGAGCGGGCCTTTCACGATCCCAGGCCCATTTCTCTTTGAGCTCGGGCTCAAGGTCGTCTTCGAGCATCTGCACGACGTACTTGCCCAGCACGGGGAAGAACTTGTAGCCGTGGAAGGAGCCACAGGTTGCGACATAGAGGCCCTTTGCGCCGGCGTGGGGGGAAATGATGAAGTCGGAGGAGGTGGTGAATGCATCCCTGGTGTGGCGGTTAGTTTTTTGTGCAAAGATTAGATGAGTAGTAAGGGACTCTTTTGACTTACCAGCAGATTCGGTGCTTGTCCATTTTCCAGTTTGCGCCTTTCTTGCCGTAGAAGACGTCGTTGGCGTGTGCAATGTCAAGTTTCAGTGGGCCGGGAACATCCCACTGGTTGTAGTCCTTTCCTGATGGTGGTGCCGAAACGAAGCGGCCAGGAAGGACTTCATGTGTGTTCTTGAAGATCTTCTCGCCCCACCACTTGAGCTCGCGGTCCTTGGTGGGCGGTAAGCTGCCGATGAAGGGTCCGTATGCGGCGGTGTAGCCTTGGACACCAACTGGCATGTGCTTGAATCTCTCGTAGGATTTTTCGTCGAGAGTGGTCATGCCGGTTGTGATACCACCAGCGACAATTCTTGATCCAGCACGGAGGTTTTCATTTCCACTTCGCTTCGCGGCCTGCTCGAGGAGTTTGGCTGTGTACGCACCGGTTGAGAGTACGACGTGTGTAGCCGAGAGTGTATTGCCTTGCTCGGTCCTGACTCCAATGCAGCGCCCGGTGTTGTCAAACTCCAAGCTCTCAACTTTTTGTGTGACGTACTTGACGCCCTGTTCAATGGACCACTTGGTAACGGCTCTTAGAGCATCGCCAGCCTGTGCCCATCCACTGGTCTTGTTGACGAGCACACTTTTAGCGCCGTCGTAGTTGGCCTCTTCGAAAAGTCCACCAAACATCTTCTTTGCCTCCTCAACGGAAACGGACTGAAGATCGGCCTGGCGACCAAGCTTCTTGTAGTTGTCAATGACTTCTTGTGCGTAGTCTGAGCGACAGACCCAGAAGATGCCGGTCTCGTGGAAGTAAGGTTTCCAGAGAGGGTCCTCCTTGAAGACATCCTGAGCTTCTAGGGCAAGTCTGCAGTAGATGAGATCGTCGTAGTCGGCGCGCACAACTTTGTTCCAATCCCACGACGCAGCGACGCGGTTGTCGGCATCCCAGGCGTCTTGGTCGACAACGGTGATTTGGCGGTCAGGATACTTCTTGATAAGGTGGTAGGCAGTCGAAATGCCGAAAACACCAGCACCGACAACGAGGTATGAAGGTTTGCTGGATGCCATGTTGTTCAAGATCCAATGCTTATCGTCACAGAGCATGAAGTGAGAGAGGTTTGATGCAGCGATGAAGAAGCACTACCACCACGCATTGTATTTATACTATCAGTCATTACATCAATTAGTCCATTTCCCAAAGCGGTCGACCTGATAAGTGGGCCGTTCTCGGCCTCCTCGTCGTGGTCGTGGGTAAACTAGGCGCGGGGCATTCGTGGAGGTTGTTTCCTCATTGAGCAAAGCTTTGCGACGGGCAAGCTCCAGCCATTTTCCGACGTCTTCACCGCCGGCTGCCATGGCTCCAATCGGACATGACAAGTAATTGATGGCCTTTGTATCTGCTGATATACACATTTAGAGCCCTTCCGCAGTCGTCACCGACGGGTCCGAGTCTTGTGGCAGTTGGATGCAGCGCCGCTTCTAAGCGAGATGGACACCAGATCTCGAACTAGATGCATGCTAACGCCATTGGGAAATGCATCGCGGCGACTAGTTGGTGCAGTCCATCCCCATCTTGTACTGTCGAATAGGCAGGCTACGTTTTGATAGATATGAGTTTTTTGTATTTGCTTGGGGTACCGAAAGAACGAGCCCAGTAGACCTTGCTCGTCGTTTGTCGAAATGATTTGCAGTTTGATCAGCGCTTGTTACATCTCGAACGTTAATATGCATAATGCACTTTTCGCAAAGTGCATTAACATGGATAAGACATAAGCTCATGAAGTGAGGTATTTCATTAGAGATCTACCAAATAGCACCAACTAAGCCCTACCTGACAAGAGCATCACGACAAGCTTATGCACTGTTTGCAAGATATACTGGGCACTAACCAAGCATCATGGAATCAAGACCAACCAGCACGGCTCGGTCCGCAACGGCAGCGACGCTACAGGTATCAAGAATGTGATTGATCGAGCTGAACAGCAAGCTTGTGCTGGCTCCGTA